AAAAAAAAAAAAAAAAAAAGGCTGTACCCCAACCACTTTGGGCACATAATCTCAGGACCTCCTGAGGGCTGTGTCACGGGCCATTGGTCATTCACATTTAGCTAATATTTCTCTTCAAGTATTTTACAGAGTTTTGATTCTTTTGGTCGACATAGGTGTGAGCCACCACTCCCAGCCATGACCTGGCTTTTATGTCAAACTTCTACCTGGCCTCTGTGGCAGGTATCAGATCTTCTCTGTGAACAATCTAGAAGATTTTCTATTGATTTCAGTTGATACAAAAGATAAAACATATATTCCTTCTCAACATTAGATGAGGTTGCACATTGGGATTACTTGGGGAGCTCTTAAAAACCCCTGGTGTCTGGATCCCACTGCAGAGATCCCCGAGGCGCAGCTTGGATGCCACAACCTTTGGAGACTCCTTGGTGATTCCACTGTGTGGCCAAGGTTGAGAATCAGTGCTCCAGATCAGTGTGTGTCCCACTTACTTGTGTGTAGGAGCATCCTGGCGATTGCGTTACATGGTAGGTTCTGAGCCAGGGGGCCAGGGTGGGATCCGAGAGCCTACATTTCTAATAAGCTCCTACATGATGCTGAGGCTGGTGTAAGGACCACACTTTGAGGAGCGAGGCTCCTCTGCAACTCACGGATCACACCAGTCTCCACCTCATTATTTCAACAGAGCCTTGAATTACTATCTCCTTCTACTGATGCTCAGGGTCGGGGATGGATAGTGGCAAACCTTCTAGATCTTCTTCTGTAGCCCCTATAGCCAAAAATCTGAGTGATTTTGTCCAAACTCCACATTGTGTGGCTGGCAAAAGAGGCTCACAGAGGGAAAATGACTTACCAAGGTCACATAGCAAGTTTACTGACAACAATTGACCTGGACCCAGGTCTTTTTCATTGCACTTGGCTGCTTCGTTAATCTCTGCGGCTCAGAGCTGGCAACCCACCTCTTGGACACAGACTGCCTGTTGACAATGTACCACATACGGTCCTTAGAGTCCCCTGTGCTATGTCTTCTGGTCTCCACAATCCCGGGAGGCAGCTTCTATTCTGTCTCCATTTCACATCCAAGGAAACTGATGCTCCGAAAAGGGAAGTCCCCAGGAAGTGGCAGGACTGGGATTGGACCCAGGAATCCTGTCGTTCCTAGATACTGACAAGACTCCTCAGTTGCTGTGAGGATTAAATAGGATGTGCTCATGAAGCAGGCAGCGCAGAGAGAGCCTGGCACCTAGTAAGGGCCCCATAAATTTCAGCTTCCTACTATGACTCGGGTTTGTTGTGTTTTGTTTTGTTTTGTTTTTTGAGACAAGGTCTCACTAACACTACCTAATATTAATCAGTCTGTGGGCAAGGACTGTGTCTTATTCAGGTTTATGTCCCCAGACCTAGCACTCCTGGGTTCTGCAGCCCTCGCCCCCAGGACACCACCCGCTCCCTGAGAACTCCTCCCTTGCTCCTAGCCCAGTTCCGAAGGCAGCCATTTTTCACTGCAGAGACCAGCCCTGCCCCTCCCAAATTTAACTAGACGGGAACCCACAGCGTGTCATACAGCACAGTGGCCCCAGGATGGCAGTAGATGCCCATGTGTAAGATCTCTGGCCCAGCCTGAGCCTCCTTTAAAGGGTAATTTACTTGCGTGTGTCTCTTCCTCCAGGCCCTTGTCCAGGG